TGATTTAAATCGGCAAATTATCAAATACGAATAGCATGCATATTAATTATTCAATAATCATTTGTAACGCATCAAAAACAATACGTTGACGCGATGTTTAAAGAAAAGATATTTTACGACGATGCAATTAACAGTATCGATATTAAAATGTATTAAATACGAAACTAATTAGTTAGGTAATAGTTTCTTATGTCTGGTAACCATTCTTTTCACAGTTACTTAGACCAGTGACTCGTCAACAAATAAGTATGTATTGAACTGAACGAATATTCTCAAAATAATTTTAACAATAGCCGCCTAAAAACTCTCCTAACAACAACACAAATTGTATCACAGTTAAAACAAAGTTATATAAACAAATAGGTCTCTTTGTATAGTCCAATTAAGTGGTTCCCACGGTATCGCTTTGTATAGGAGGAAGCAGCTATTTATAATGGTGTTTTGTTATAAAATAATAACTGAGACTCCGAGGCGGTCGGGCACCACATCCCCGGTGAGACGAGCTGTGCCCACTAACAGTAAGTAAACACACAATTTTTTTTTGTGACAGGAGTCCAACGAGCAGAGGTATCACCTAATGGTAAGTAATAATTACCGTCGCCCATAGACACCTGTAGTCCCAGGGGCGTTACAGGTGCGTTGCCGGCCTCTAAGGTGAAGGCCTTTAAGGTGAGAAAATCTTTGAATCCAGTTCTCTTTCTTTTCAAAAATAAAGATTTTTTTTCTTTCAGTAAAATTTTCTAACTACAGTATTAAGAGTACTTTCCCTCCAAGTGGCATTACAAAATTCCACCCTGTATTAGTACTTCATAGATACTTAGATTATGTGCATTAATGTCCAAATAAAACCCTGTTGTCAGTCGTCTATGCATGAGCACAGTATATTACCGTGGCATGGGCAACAAAATACTTCACTTGCGCGCGTTAAACATGGTACAACGCCATCTGTTGGTTGAATTTTGAACTAATTACAGTGCTGGTCCCCAACCTACCTACTAACTAAATAGCATTCTCGAATCGGTAGATAGTCCGATATCCCAGCTGTTGAGTCCATCTCCATTTATGATATTTTTCTTCCAGTTCCCAGCTCCCTGTCCCAACTCGTTGGTACCGTAGACTACGAAGCCAGCGATGTGCTGGATATCCCCGAGAGAGACTGGCGGCTGCTGGCTGCCCTCGCCAAGAAGAGGGACGAGAGCGACGAGCGGGAGCGGCTGGCGGAGGAGTTCCAGCGCATGTGGCAGAAGGAGAAGGAGGACAGAGAGATGGTACATTCTTATTTTAAAAAGGGTCGGTCATAAAAGTCCGGTGGTTAAGGCAGAAGCAGGCTCCACCATTAAGAATAATAGCAACTGAGGTTGCGGAACACACAAAACTACGGTAGGTGATGGAGTAGCTCAAGCAAGGAAGTTTCTGGACTGCATCAGACACAAGCAGAAGCGCCTGCGAGCTCTGATATAGACCAGAAAGTAAGGCATGAAGAAATTTTTACATGAATCTCTAGGTTTGACCTCAATACGTACCTTTGACTATAAGTCCAGCGATAGGCCCCCTTAATTTAATTTATTGTCCGTGGTGCATAATCTTTTTCTTAAAGGTTTTAAACCTTTGTTTGTCACCTGTCATCCGCTTTGCGATGGAGGGAAGTCGAACCTTAATTTCGAACTCCTCCTATGTTCTTCTGATTAATTTCGTTGCGGGTCCTATGACAGTTTAACTTTCCCCCGGGACAAACTTGACCTTCATTGGTTGGGTTTTTGTGGCGGTCAAGCTGTAGATCCTGGCTACACAGGAGTTGCAGTGGTGGGAACGAGAGGTGGGAATAGTGCCGTTTAGGGTGGGTGATGGAGTAGCTCAAAAATATTGTGGAGCTTCTGGACTGCATCAGACACAAGCAGAGGCGCCTGCGAGCTCTGATATAGACCAGAAAGTAAGGCTTGAAGAGCTTCTTACATGAATCTCTAGGTTTGACCTCAATACGTACCTTTGACTATAAGTCCAGCGATGTGCTGGACATCATCCCCGAGAGAGATTGGCGGCTGCTGGTTGCCCTCGCCAAGAAGAGGGACGAGAGCGACGAGCGGGAGCGGCTGGCGGAGGAGTTCCAGCGCATGTGGCAGAAGGAGAAGGAGGACAGAGAGATGGTACATTCCAATTATAAAAGGTCATTTGGTCGAGACTGGAGCTCATAAGGTCATGGTCATGAATCATACGGTAGTTGATGGAGTAGCTCAAGCAAGGGAGCTTCTGGACTGCAACAGACACAAGCAGAGGCGCCCGCGAGCTCTGATTGTAAACCAGAATGAAAGGTTTGAAAAGCTTTTACATGAATCTCTAGGTTTGACCTCAATAGGTAACATCGACTGCAAAATCAGCATGTCCTGGACATCCCCGAGAGAGACTGGCGGCTGCTGGCTGCCCTCGCCAAGAAGAGGGACGAGAGCGACGAGCGGGAGCGGCTGGCGGAGGAGTTCCAGCGCATGTGGCAGAAAGAGAAAGAGGAGAGAGAGATGGTAAATTCTTATTTTAAAAGGGGTCGGTTATTCTAGTCCTGTTATCAACGCAGAAGCTCCACAATCACGAATACTAGCAACTGAGGCAGGCTGCGGAATACACAACACTAGGGTGGGTGATGGAGTAGCTCAAGCAAGGAAGTTTCTGGACTACATCAGACACAAGCAGAGGCGCCTGCGAGCTCTGATTGTAGACCAGAATGAAAGGCTTGAAGTGCTTTTACATGAATCTCTAGGGTTTGACCTCAATACGTACCTTTGACTATAAAGTCAGCGATGTGCTGGACATCCCCGAGAGAGACTGGCGGCTGCTGGCTGCCCTCGCCAAGAAGAGGGACGAGAGAGACGAGCGGGAGCGGCTGGCGGAGGAGTTCCAGCGCATGTGGCAGAAGGAGAAGGAGGACAGAGAGATGGTACATTCTTATTTTATAAAGGGTCGGCTATTCGAGTCCTGTTGTCGAAGTAGAGACTCCACAATCAAGAATACTAGCAACTGAGGCAGGCTGCGGAACACACACTACGGTGGGTGATGGAGTAGCTCAAGCAAGGGAGCTTCTGGACTGCATCAGACACAAGCAGAGGCGCCTGCGAGCTCTGATTATAGACCAGAATGAAGGGTTTGAAAGAAAAGCTTTTACATGAATCTCTAGGTTTGACCTCAATACGTACCTTCGACTATAAGTCCAGCGATGTGCTGGACATCCCCGAGAGAGACTGGCGGCTGCTGGCTGCCCTCGCCAAGAAGAGGTACGAGAGCGACGAGCGGGAGCGGCTGGCGGAGGAGTTCCAGCGCATGTGGCAGAAGGAGAAGGAGGACAGAGAGATGGTACATTCTTATTTTAAAAAGAGTCAGTCATACAAGTTCGATGGTTAAGGCAGAAGCTCCACACTCAAGAATACTAGCAACTAAGGCAGGCTGCGGAATACACAACACTAGGGTGGGTGATGGAGTAGCTCAAGCAAGGGAGCTTCTGGACTACATCAGACACAAGCAGAGGCGCCTGCGAGCTCTGATACAAAATATACCAGAAAGTAAGGCATGAAGAAATTTTTACATGAATCTCTAGGTTTGACCTCAATAGGTACCCTCGACTACGAAGACAGCGATGTGCTGGACATCCCCGAGAGAGACTGGCGGCTGCTGGCTGCCCTCGCCAAGAAGAGGGGCGAGAGCGACGAGCGGGAGCGGCTGGCGGAGGAGTTCCAGCGCATGTGGCAGAAGGAGAAGGAGGACAGAGAGATGGTACATTCTTATTTTAAAAAGAGTCGGTTATTCGAGTCCTGTTGTCGAAGTAGAGACTCCACAATCAAGAATAATAGCAACTGAGGCTGCGGAACACACAAAACTACGGTAGGTGATGGAGTAGCTCAAGCAAGGGAGCTTCTGGACTGCATCAGACACAAGCAGAG